TTAAAAAAAAACCTTCTAACTAACATTTTTAGCCAAAAGCTGAACAGGACTCAAGCTAAAGGAGTACACTCTCACTTCGAAAGTTTACACCATGTTAAAATGTACATCATAACACAATTATCTCCTTGCTTCCTTCTGTAAAATGTGAAGGGAGTTCTCCCAGTAATATTCAAGTAGTTACTGAGTGCCAAGTATTACAATATTTGAACAAAAGCTTTCATGCACGTGATGGAAATATAGTTTAAGGTGGGAGCTGCTTCCATTAATGTCTTTCACCAAAAAGAAAACACACATTGATGATACTTCTAGAAACTTAAATGAAAATCACAAAACAAATAAAATTTTATGACACGATAAATTGGCAAAATATACCAGACATCGGCTAGTTTAAATGTGATTACTAAAACTCTTGGAATTAAAATTACTTTGTCTTTTTGTTGATGAAAACGAATGTACTTCTTTATCTCACATCTTCAATGATAAAATCCTGCCTGTCCTACCTTAGCAGCCCGCACGGCTTTGACTTTCAGCAGCATATCAACAAAAGCCACTCTCACTTTCTCTGAATTGTCGTGGAGACTGTATTTCAGTGCTGGCAGAAGCTGTTCCAATAATGGGTGGCTTAATTTGTTATCCAAAATTATCGGCAGACACTACCAAAAATAAAAGGAGAAATAAAAAGAACTCAAATTTAGAATATAAACAATAAAAAGTTCAGTTAAGAAAATATTCAATTCCATCCTTATTAGTGAACTACTAGTGAAATAAATATATCTACAGAATATAACACTTTCCTAAAACAGTTTCATATAAAAAGCATACTTTCAATGAATTAGTATAGTTTCAACACTGATAATCAGTTCATCCATTGTTCTATCCAAACAAAATTAACGCAGTTATAAAATAATCCTGCAATGCTTTCTCTTAGCCAGATTTTAAAGAATTTTTAGAGTTGAAAGAAACAGAGAACAACTACTGGTGGAGAGGGCTCCAAAGCCAATTTGTGTCGGATCCAACAATCCTTTCACATTTTTTTAGTAGCCCATGAATTCTATTTCTTGACTCAGTCCTGCATGAAAACCAGAGGGCACAAAGCCCCCCTATCGGGGGGACACAGGCACATGCACCTCAAATAGGTGGTAGAGTGACCTGCCCAAGCTCAAGCCAGTCACCATTTTGAAGATCTGATACACTCCACTTTGCTTTACAGTTATCAGGAAAAAGGATTTTTTAAAGAGAATTCTTTTTTATTTGAATTATAGTGGACATACAATGTTAAATTCGTCCAGGTGTACAACATAGTGGTTCGACAATTCTATACATTAAGCTATGTTCACGATGGTAAGTGTAGTTACCATCTGTCACCATACAATATTATTACAATATTACTATTAACTATAACAAGACCTTATGTTTTAACCATCATACTGAAATATTTACAGATGAGCTGATATAGTGTCCTGGGTTTGTTTCAAAGTAATCAATAGTGGGAGATGATGAATTGGCTAAAGATGAAATAAGACCAGATGTGTTCCTGATAACTCTTGAAACTGGATGGTGGGAGAAAGGATAGTTTTGTAGGTTCTTGTTAAAAGTGCATACAGTATACCAAAAAAGTCAATTTTAATGTATAATTACAAAAAAAATGTAAGTACTACATACAACTCCTATTTTAAAAACACTGTGCACCACTCACCCAGGCCATCCACTAAAAACTCGTATTATTTCAAGTAGGCCTTTTTTATAGAAGACTTTCAATTTGGTTTTTAAAAATGTTACTTTGGATGTACAACCAAAATGTCCATAGTACTCTATCTATAAGAGTAGAATTACGGGTAATTTAAAAATTATTCTTTCTCTGTATTTTCTAATTATTCTATGATAAATAAGTATTGCTTAAATCCTACCTTAAAGACAGAACAGCGCACGTCAGCTGAGCTTGTGTCAAATGCCAGTTCCCCAGTTACTTTCTTGAGGAGATCAATAAGAATGGTTGGAGGCATCATTTCCCAGTATTTGGAAGTTATTTTACAAACACCAAGGATCCCTGTAGAACGGACCATCGGATAAGGATCTTCTAAAAGGCTCTATAAGTTGGAGGGGAAAAAGACTTAAAAATCTTAAATCAGCTCCCTTTATATCAATATTCGCTTTACACATTAGCACTCTATGCATTCACAATGTAGCAGACATTTCAAGTTATAGAAATACTGGTCCTATACAGACTCACACATCTCTTATTTATCATTTCTATAGTTGAGCATTTAATAAAAAGGACAATCCAGACATGTGGTGCCACATCTGCCAATCCCATCTATAGGACTTTGCTGATAGCAGAGTGTCAAATACCATCCCCACATTCAGTGAGGTATGCAGACTTCAGACGATCCTTCAGACACAGCCGTGTAAGCCACTTTCTTGAATTTCCAAAATGCTGTAATGCACTAAGCCCAGAATAAAGTTATTCTACTTAATGAATTAATCCAAGAAATGGTGATCAGTGGTTGCTAACAATACAAAAAGAGGGGGCACCTGGGTGGCTCAGTTGGCTAAGTGTCTGTTTCTTAGTTTCAGCTCAGGTCTTGGTCTCAGGGTTGTGAGATCGAGCCCCTGTCAGGCTGCACACTGGGCGTGGAGCCTGCTTAAGATTCTCTCTCTCCCCGCCTCTGCCCCCTCCCTCCTCCTCTCTCCGCACTCTCTTTAAAAATACAAAAAGAAACAAGATGCTGTATATCTCTGGATGGAAGTACACAACAGCTCCATGAAGAATGTGACACAACAAACAAAATCCCCACAAAAATAACTGATCAACTCTACACCTATTGATATTCAGGAAATACAAAACGCAGAGGAACATAATAACAAGACCACAGGGATATGTTCCATAAAACCCAGAATTTGGTGTGCCTGGGTGGCTCAGTTGGTTGAGCATCTGCCTTCAGCTCAGGTCATGATCCCGGGGTCCTGGGATCGAGCCCTACATTGGGCTCCCTGCTCAGCAGGGAGCCTGCTTCTCCCTCTGCCTCCCTGCCTCCTGCTCTCTCACTCACACTCATTCTCTCAAGTAAATAAATAAACCTTAAAAAAAAAAAAACCCAGAATGCAAGAAACAAAAGAATAATTTGGCTTCTTTAACAACAAAAATAGCAAGCAATAGAGAGATGGAGGCTTACTGGACAGGGTATTATCAATATATTGGCTGATCACATGCATGGGTCTTATTTAGACACAGATTCAAACAAAATGGGGAAAAGTGTCATTGAAATATCACTCAAAAACAATAACCCAGGGGTACCTGGCTGGCTCAGTAGGGGAGCATGTGACTCTTGATCTCAGGATCATGACTTCAAACCCCATGTGTGGCGTAGAGTTTACTTAAAATAAAAATTTTTTTAAAAAGTTTTTTTAAGTGTTTAAAAAAAAAAAATTACCCAATATTTGATAGCATTAAGGAATTACTTTTCATCTTTCTTTAGTTTTAACGATGGTATGATTATGCTTTTAAAAAAAATCACTGTTTTAGCAATTCCTACTTAAGTATTTAGAGTTAAAATGATGATACCTCAGATCTGCTTCAAAACAAGGAAAGAAGAAATAGATTAGGTTTGGGTCACTAAATACTGAAACTGCATTATGGGTAAATAGAGGTTCATTATACTAGGCTCTCTATTATTATGTACAAATTTTCCTATTATAAAAGTTTAAAAGCACAAATAATTCTTACTCTAATTACGGGGAAAAAAAGCCTTCAAGTTAGGATGAATAAGCACCCCCAAATCTGACCAAAATGAGATGGCAGTAGAGATAGCAACGTTGGAAATGAGGGATTTTTTTTTTTTTAAGATTTTATTTATTTACTTGAGAGAGAGAGAGCACAGAAGGAGAGGGAGAAGCAGACTCCCCGCTGAACAGAGAGCCAGACATGGGGCTTGATCCCAGGACCCCGAGATCATGACCTGAGCTGAAGGCAGACACTTAACCAACTGAGCCAGCCAGGTGCCCCTAAAATGAGGGATTTCTACAAGAAGGAAAGAACAGATTTCATGAAAAGACGAGCAGAAAAGGTTGTGACCCAGACATTCCTAGGTCCTTCCAGAGCTCAGACTTGCCCAAACCTGGGATCATGAACACAGATGGTACCAGGGCTACCGAAAGCTTCGTGCATTTGCTCCCGAGGTAAAACACGTGCCAGGGAAGAGCTCTCAAAAATGGCCTTAGTTGGGAACAGAGGAGCTTAGAAAAGCCAGCAATAACTCCTACATCTCCACAGAGGGGAAAAAGAAAGGAGGGAAAGCCACCAGAAGGGGAGGCCCCTCCCCATCTGGTCACCTTGGGGTCACTGGCCTGCCTGTCCCTCAGCCACAGAACCCAAGGGGAACCCAATCTGCTGACAAGCCCTGTCCACTTGTGCAAAACCACACAATCCACTTACCAGTCCTAATACGGTCTATTCCTTAGAATCTAACAAAGACTTGGCAATTCTTTCAGGTGTTTTCTCTAATAAGAATTTGCCATTCCTATGTGTAATTTATTTTTCACTGTAAAACAATTATTTCATAGGTCCTGCCTCTTAAACTTATTAACCATGTACATATTACACATTTGCTAAAATTATATGAAACTTCGTAGCGTGGAAACATTTTTATTCATACAATATCTCTACCAACTATGATGTTCTCACAGTAAGATTTCTTCAATTTACGGGGCGCCTGGGTGGCTCAGTCGTTAAGCGTCTGCCTTTGGCTCAGGTCATGATCCCGGGGTCCTGGGATCGAGCCCCGCATCGGGCTCCCTGCTCCGCGGGAAGCCTGCTTCTCCCTCTCCCACTCCCCCTGCTTGTGTTCCCTCTCTCGCTGTGTCTCTCCCTGTCAAATAAATAAATAAAAATAAATAAAATCTTAAAAAAAAAAAGATTTCTTCAATTTACAATATAAGGGATTTTCAATGGACTAGAAAGGGATATAGTTACACCAATCATTAGCCAATATTCTAATATCCAAAGTACCAAGCATATGACAGCATCTACATCTGTAAGAGACCAACAGCTCCCTATACACCTTTCATCTAGTAAATTAGAACTAAACTCGCCCCTAGAAATTCATTTCAGTTTCTAGTACAAGAGACAGAGGATTCACCAATATGTTCCTAATATTATATTACATAATCACATCACTTTACATATTTTTGATGTTCCTATGGACGGTAATAACCACTGTCATTTTAATTACATAATATTTTTTTAAATTTTAATTCCAGTGTAGGTAACATAGTGTTATATTTATTTCAGGTGTACAATACAGTGACTCAACAATTCTACATATTACTCAGTACTCATAAAGATAAGTGCACTCTTAATCCCCTTTACCTATAACCACTGTCATCTTAATGCTAGGGATTGAGCGAAATGTTTTATATATAATTTTTCATTGAGACCTTATCACAATCTGACAGGTTTTAAAAAAGAAACAGGACTAAAGAGGTTAAGTAATCTGATCAAAACCAGACTTATTAAGTGGGAAGTGGGATACAAAACAAAATGTGTGACTCCATGCTCTCAGTCACTATGTGTGCAGTCACTATCCCCTGCAGGACACCCACAGAGGATGCTCATGTGTCCCACTCAGCAGCAGGAGGGCCGCTGGGCACACCCTGTCTGTGAAACGGCGGGTGCAACCTGAGACACGTGTGCCACGCTCCACCACCACCACATCTAAGGCAGACGCGTACACACTTAAAAACAAGTTTCATAGATTTGGACACCTGGGTTAAAAAGAGCAAACGCTGGGGCACCTGGGTGGCTCAGTCGGTTAAGTGTCCGACTTCGGCCCCGGTCATGATCTCAGGGTCCTGGGATCAAACCCCGAGTCAGGCTCCCTGCTCAGCGGGGAGTCTGCTTCTCCTTCTTCCTCTGCCCCTCCCCCAGCTCATGCTCTCTCTCTCTCTCTAACAAAATCTTTATTAAAAAAAAGAGCAAGGGGGGAGCCTGGGTGGCTCAGTCGTTAAGCGTCTGCCTTCAGCTCAGGTCATGATCTCAGGGTCCTGGGATCGAGCCCCGCATCGGGCTCCCTGCTCCGCGGGAAGCCTGCTTCTCCCTCTCCCACTCCCCCTGCTTGTGTTCCCTCTCTAGCGGTCTAATAAATAAATAAAATCTTAAAAAAAATAAATAGGGCGCCTGGGTGGCTCAGTCGGTTAAGCGGCTGCCTTCGGCTCAGGTCGTGATCCCAGGGTCCTGGGATCGAGCCCCGCATCGGGCTCCCTGCTCAGCGGGAAGCCTGCTTCTCCCTCTCCCACTCCCCCTGCTTGTGTTCCCTCTCTAGCGGTCTAATAAATAAATAAAATCTTAAAAAAAAAAAAGCAAAAGTTTTTCATAGTTTTTGGCTAAAAACTACCAAAATCTAGTTTTGATTTGCCCACCACCATTAGCCCCACCATGTTAATGATTCTCAAGGGGACTTTTAGGTAAATATACATGCAGGTAAGGCATTTACAGCAAAATACTAATGACTGTTCATTTTAGGTGCATGTGTGTCTCTATGTAGGTGTGTATGTCTGTGCACATGTGCACATGTGTGTATGTCCATACAAAGAGCTAAGTCTACACATATTCGTTATACGATTATTTCAACTTGCTGCATGTCTGAGTGTTTTCATTAAATAAAAAAACAAGCAGGGGCATCTGGGTGGCTCAGTTGGTTAAGTGTCTGACTTTGGCTCGGGTCATGATCTCAGGGTCCTGGGACCGAGCCTGCACTGGGCTCCGCACTCAGCAGGGGGTCTGCTTCTCTGTCTCCCTCTGCTCCCCTCCCCCGCTTTGAGGTCCGGTCTCTCTCTCTCTCAAAAAAAAAAATCCTGAAACTTAAAAAACAAACAAACAAAAGGAAGTATTTTAGGAATGCCATGGGTAACCATCTTTATCATGGCATTTTTGCTATCACTTCTTAAAATTTTATTCTATTAACTAGGACAATAAATAATATTTTTTAGCTTGTGTTAGGAAGCCCTGAAAATGTTAGGGAATGTAGAGAAATAAGCAGAGGCTAGCACTTTCCAGCCAGATGAAAAAATCCCCACAGTACCCTTGGAAATAAATGTGGCATCCTAATGTTCTCATGTCTCATTTGAAAAATTAGTCATTT